GGATCGCGATGGGTCGGACACGACTTCACTATTAACAACAACAACAATGCTATGTTTTATCCACAAATAGAAAGATCTCAGATACAATAGGAATGATTCTGAATTGTACTTGAGGATTTAGAGCTGTTCTAGGAGTTCAAGAAAAGCCTGCAGAATCAAGGGGACTGGAGGCTAAAGCATATAAGGAACGACTGCTGGAATTGGGTATGTCTAGTTTAATGAAGAGAAGGACGAGGGGGGGACATGATAGCAGTGTTCCAATATCTCAGGGGCTGCCACAAAGAAGAGGGAGTCAAGCTATTCTCCAAAGCACCTGAAGGTAGGACAAGAAGCAACAGGTGGAAACTAATCAAGGAGAGAAGCAATCTAGAACTAAGGAGAAACTTCCTGACAGTGAGAACAATTAATCAGTGGAACAACCTGCCTCCAGAAGCGGTGAATGCTCCAACACTGGAAGTTTTTAAGAAGAGACTGGACAGCCATTTGTCCGAAATGGTATAGGGTTTCCTGCCTGAGCAGGGGGTTGGACTAGATGANTATTATTATTATTATTATTATTATTATTATTATTATTATTATTATTATTATTATTATTATTACAACTAAGCTCAGAGAGCACCAAGGTCCCCACAGTTCAACCATGAGCTGCACATGTCTTCTTCAGTTGATAAGCTAAATCAGTTCAGGACACTTTACACAGAAAAGAAACCCACTTCTGTATTCACATATGCCACTCTTTGAGTTCTGATATCTAAAGAAATGCATTTTAGGATTGCTTTTAAAATGTACTCACACATCAGTTTTTTAAGAACCCTTTTCCTTGGCTGTGGAATCTCACTTATTAAACTTTCTCTTCAGCTAAGAGAGTGTATAATCTAGCCTCTTTTGTCTTTAAGGCATTTTAAAATTCTCTACAGCCAGACCCTTTCATGGTAAGTCCTATACATAGAAAAGAATTTTTGATTTGTAAAGCTCATCAGACAATTTAAAAGCCCTTGTATAAAGAAACATCAGCAACCTTAAACAACAGCCCAATTAGCAGCTTAGCAAGAATAATAAAAAGAGCACCTAACTCAACATTCTATTATTAAAGATGAAAAAAATGAAAAAATAGCATCAGATCAAATTACAACAACATCAAATCCTAGTCAACATGGCAAAAATAAATTTAACAATGATCACAAGGTTTATACTGCCAGGTTCACATATACTTCTTTTAAATTAGATTTCTAGAAATGTGTGAGTAATACTGAGAATGCCCTTTATCTCATATCAATAAACTATATGTTTTTTCAGTGAATGAGATGTGAGGAATGCCTCCAAGCTATAGTTTTTAAGAATAGACAAACCAAAATGAGTCCAAATAATATAGTTTTTAAGATAAAAACCAACATGCCCTTAAATAGTATGCATCCTTAATTGGATATTCGATCAGCAAATGTCTCACCTCCTTAAACACTTTATGATTTATTATTTTACAACCTAAGAGAAATATTTCAAATGGCAGTGTAGATCAAAGACTCTTAATGAGTGTCTTCATTTTTAAATTAAGAAGAGGGGAAAACTGCTATTTTAATTTAAAAACAAAAAGCTTGCCAGGATTGAGAATGAAGAAAGTTTTAAATAGAGAACTTTCTTTAAAGTGATTTCTTAAAAAAAAAAATTATGATGAAAGTACCTTTGAAAATAGCAAAAGTAATTAGACCTGCTGACCAGATCTTTGTGGGATTGCTGGTTGTTTATTATTAAATCAAGAAGATAAGGATAATATGAGCTAAGCAGTGAGATGTAACTATAGAGAACTAATTGGAATTAAACTGTTTCAGATAGTAAGAAGCAAAACGGGGAAAACAGAAGCCAGCCTTTTACTTTCACTGTAGTAATTGCATATTTTCACTTCCTCACAACAGCAATCACAAGAAAATCTGCTGAAGTGGCAGACAGAGGCAGGAGTTCACTAGAACAGCTTACAGATAAGGGCATTTTATAAGATTTATTGCAGAAAAAGTTTGAACAATTTGGCAAAAAGATGACTTCAACAGTTATAGAAGAAGGATTTGCAGGAATAAAAAAAATGTCAAAGAAGAAGTTAAGAAGAATATATGGTGCAACTGGCTGCAGACTTAAAACAAATTAATGATAAAGTAGAAGTTTCAGTCCTATAGGGGGACAGAGATTTGACTTTAACAAGAAACTAATGGCCAATATTTTTATTGAGTAATAAGTGTAATATAGTTATAATATAATTATTATAGTTATTATAATAAAATTTTACCATGATTAAGGCTAAACGGTTGAAGATAATATTACAGAATTTTATTCATGGAGATCAATACAAATAAAAAAAGAATTTGTGATTTAGAGTTTTGAACATTAGTCTAGATTATGGAAATAATATTATATAACTTTAGAGCAGGGGTGGGCAATCAATTTTCCCAAGGGCAGACATGAGTAACTGGAATTGTTGTGGAGGGCCAGCACCATGGACCCCCAACCCCACCATGGCCCCACCCCATTGCAGTTCCGCCCCTGCTGCAATCCCATCCAATTCACACCCCTACCAACACCAACACCCCGCTCCTACCAACACTGCTCAGCCACCAATGCTCTGCCCCCACCACTGACACTGTTGATGCCTTAAGCTGGACAGAGACACCCTAAAGGTCGGATGTGGCCCACAGGATGTAAAATGTGCAGGTCTACTTTAGAGAGAGAGGTTAAAATATAATTGCACTTATAATTATTGTGAAAAATATCAAAACTATATCTTTATCTTTTTTTCTTTCTTTCGGTTTTAACTTTTTTCTTTGCTTTATTTTTTATTTCTTTTTCTCTTTTCTTTATTACTTTGTATTAATTTGAATAAGTTTTTATCTTATTTTTTAAAAATGTTTCAGTAAAATTAATATAAAAAATCAGTACTGTGTATGTACTTCAGAAATGCACTGATGATAATTGGTACAACAGAGAGATCACATGTTTCAAGAATCTTGCATCATTAATATTCAGAGAGCCATATTTTGCATTAGTTTAAATTTGCTTAACTACCTTTGGAATTACTCCAGATAGAGTTCATTACTGCTTAAATCTAGCCTGGATATCACTAAAACATAGGTACTTTTTAAACACCAACAATATTATCATATACTCACTTTGTCATTTTTAGTGGATTTGTATTTGCAACTGTTTCTGTCTATTTGTATTTATTACTTTAATTTGTGTTGCAAGCTGCCTTGAGGTATATATTATGAAAGAGAATATAAATGTCTTCAATAAATAAATAAATCTTGAGTTTGAATTTTCTTGAGAGCACAAGTACATTTCCTTTTTTTTTTTACTTCATTGGGAAAATGACAGCTAGACTTAAATTAATGTGCCACCTGGAATATCAGTGTCAAGAAGTTTAGAGGCTTAATTTGTGAGGGTGATGCTTAAATAGATTTAAGATTTCTAACATAACAAGAACTTTATATGTTAGCTTATCAAATGATGAGCATAATCCAGTTCGGCAGAACCAGTACTAATTTTTTGTTGCCCAGGCCCAGAATGGACTTCCGGAAGAGGCATTCATATATTTGAATCCCACCATTGAATCCCATCCTATAAAGTTGTCAATAATAACTGCTACTATGTGGGGCTGACACCTCTACCAGTTTAGGATTGCTGCCAAGATATCATATTTAGGATTCTGGGCTTCTTGTTTAACTGTTTGAGCATTGTTACATCTTAAATTCCAATATTTCTGCTGCAAAACACTGAAATAAAAATTCTGATAGTTATACTACCATGTTTCCCTGAAAAAAAGACCGGGTCTTTTTTTTTTTAACCTCTAAAAGAGGCACCAGATCTTATTTTCGGGGGGTGTCTTTTATAGTCACCTCAGCCCTGCCCAGCTGGCCCATTTCTTCTGCGACCGAAGGAACAGCTTCATTCTGCAGCTGCATTCCAGCCTGCATTTTGCAGTCAGGCCTTTCCGGAAGGCCTCTGCAGCTGAGTAATGAGCTATGGATTCAATCCATAGCTCAGTTTTCAGCTGCATAGGTCTTGCAGAACCGAGCTATGGATTGAATCCATAGCCTGATTCTCGGCTACAGTGGCCTTCTGGAAGGCCTGTGACTGAGAAATGCAGGCCTGGCTACAGAAGACGCTACAGAATCAGTGGGCCAGTGAGGAAAGGCCTGGCTGCAAGGTAAGTGGGTCCGGGGTGTATGGGGCAGCTCCACCCCCATACCCCCACCCTAGCTTGATTTTTAGGTGTGTGCCTTGCCCAAAAACTAGGGCTTATTTTTGCAGTAGGGCTTATATTAGGCCTACCCCAAAAAATCAAGCTAGGGCTTATTTTCGGGGTAGGCCTTACTTTTGGGGGAACACAGTAGTACAGGTCATAAAATATGGGAAAATTTAAATGAACCTGGAAAATCGATTTACTAAATATAGGTACTGGGAGGGGATGTAAATGAACCAAGTTCTAATTTATATTTTGGATTTCATGAAGACATTCAGTTTGAATTTGCAATTCAGTGTGAAGAGTTTATCTGAACAATCAAGTCAAATCTGATAAGAGTATGTATGCATATCCACAAAGTCCATCAAATAGTTGAATCAATTCAGAAGCACCTGATCTAATTTAAAAAGGTAATTTGACTGAATCACATTCAAATACAAGAATCAGAATGAAGTATCACACATGCCTTAATATATGTGTCAAGGTATATATTTTGGATTGGCATTCAAAAAATATTTCCATCCCAAATTAGCATTATAATCTAATGTTCTCATTGTTCTTCTTCTACAAGATTTAATTGAAACTGTATACTTTTCTAATGTATTTGTTAGAAACAGTTGTATACTGTCCTTCAGCCAAATGGTTCCCAGGGTGATTTGAAAGCAAGTTAAAGCGACAATGAGTTCAGTAGAAAATCACACACATGAGAAATATGTAGAAATCATAGAGTTGGCTTCTAGTGATAAATAATATAGAGTTTTGTTTACATCAGTACCTTGAGCTCTCCAATAGAAGACAAAAGGCCTGCTCCATAAGCCCTCAGTTGTCCATCTTGCTTACAAAGGCCAAACTCAATAGTGAAGAAATAACACTGTAAAATGAAATACATAGAGACACACACACACATATTAGAATGAACCTAGATACACTCAGAAATCAAACAAGTCACCAGACAAGCCCTTCCTCATATTATTTTTTGTTTTTAAATAAATGATGTGAAAGAAAACTACCAAACGGTAACACCATAAATACAAGAGGCTATCATAAATCTATTTAGCATAAATCATGATAAAAATTAGGACTGTGCAGTGCTTCAGATTCAATGCCAACAGGCTGTTGCAGGATGTGCACAGTGTCTTCCATTTTTTAAAGCACTTGCATTTTTATTTTGAATCATGAATTATGTGCAGCCAACACATAATCCCTGCAAAAGTCACAGTTAGTCTAAAGTGTTGGAAGCAGGTAGTGTGTTTTCACCCTGTGCTATCCAAAGTAGGTTTGGGAAGACTTCCGGTCCTGCGCAGCAGTTGAGGGGTTCGGGGCTCCGTGCCCTTTGGCTGAATTTCTTCCTGTTAGGTGACCCTAAATGGGCCAGAAGCCACCCCAAAGAGGCAGCAAAGAAGGAAGGAAGTCCCAGGGACCACGGAGAGATGGTGGTTGACCCGATCGGTCCAGGAGAAGCCTTTCAGAAACCAACAGGAGAAAGGCTAGCCTAACTTCAGCTACAAGCAACTGAAGTCAAAAGCACTATTTTAAGCTGATTGTAAACAGTGCGTTTAAATCTGGGTAAGAACATCGATTTTCTCTATCCTACTTATCAACTTTCCTGAAGAAAAAAAAATCCCAAGAAGCAAAATACCTCCAAAAATGAAGGAGGGGGATCTCTGCCCCACCCTTTTACTAACAGAAACGGCAAATTAAACCTTTTATGGAGGACCAAAACATATTGAAATGAAATTAAATGACTATAAAACCTAAATTTGGATAAGTTTGAAATTGCTGAATGGTTAAGATTCTCATTTTAAAGGCAATTTGTTCATTTTGAAAATTTGAAAAATAAACCGGTACTAACATCTAGTGGTGGATGAAAACTATGGCTTTCATACAGGACTTGCCAAAATCTGGAAAAAAAACTAATTTCTATTTGTGACCGTCAAAGCTCTAACAATAGAGAACAGCTGTGACAAAAAAGAAAACAATCTGGGCTGCAGACAAAGAGAGACTTATAAATTTTAGGGAATAAAAAAAACTTTTTTGAACTTTCTGGATTACAAGTATCTACTTAATTCTGACTCTAAAGCTATTTGCAGAGAAAAGAAAACTTGGATTCTTGGTCATCATGGAAAATCAGAGACTTATAGAAATAACTTATCAAGAAAAAATAAATACCTTTCAACAGGAGACATATGCTATGTTGCAACTAATTCAAACAACAATGATTTCAAACCACAAAGAAATCCAGAATAACTTTGAAAATATAAACCAATTCATCTCCAATTTAACTTTACAACAAAAAAATCCCAGAAAACAACAATAGAGAAGGAACAGATAAAACAGATAACTGAATACAAATTTGAGGATAGAGACTTAAAGATAGAATCTAACAAAACAAAGAGGTATGATTTAACCCAAGTGGAAAAAGATTTACAAGAAATACTGGATTTGGAAAAGACAACTTATACTTTAACACCACAAAACAAATTTGAGGATAAGAAAAAAGATTGGACAAAATGGACTGCAGAGATGTCAGGAAAAACACTAGAACTGAAGAGACAAAAAATGATAAGAGAAACAGAGAGAAAAAGAAAGAAAAAGATTTTCAACAAACATGAATGGGCAAATGCCTCTTACAAAGATATTATACTTGACTTACCTTTTATACTACAGTAACACTTACAAGAATATGGAAAGATTCTTTGATTCAGCAGAACATATTGATTAAGAAAGATACTGAGCAAAAGAAAAAGGCTAAAGTGAAAATTAAGAAAATAGATGATGGGACCTATCAGAGAATATTTAAAAAAGAAACACCTGTTTGAATGTGGTTAAAGAAATAAAAAGATTTTGGATATGAATTTTATTTTAAGAGGGAAGAGCCCCTCAAGTAACATAGTACTTTTTCTTCTTTCTTCTTATTTTATTTCTTGACATGAGTAATATAAAAGAGTTGGAATGGCTTATATAAAGGAAATGTTTTAGATATTTAAAGGTGATTGATTTTAAGAAAATTACAATGGATTAAAAAATGTTTTGAATAAGAGTTAAAAGACTAGAGGACTAGATTTATTAAATGGAATATTTAAAGATTAAATATATTTTCAATTATGGTAAAAAGAATGGAAAAAGTTTGGAAATAAATATGTATTAACTTATAGGAAACATGGATTTTAAGTGGCATACTATCCTTTTATTTTTCTTTATTCTTATTATTCTTTTTTCTTTTTTTAATCTTATTTATTCTTAAGAAAGGTAAAAGTATTGGGATGGCTTACATGAGAAAAAATAGACTTAAATGTTTAAATGTAATTAACTTTGAGAAAATCTGAACCAGTAAAAATGTTTTGAACATTATGGGAAAAACAAATGTAAACAAGAACTGTAAACAGGATCTATGATGAGGCAACCAGAATGCCTAGATGGAAAAGAAATATTACATTGATGTGCTTATTATTTGTAGAAATATTAGAAAAAAATTTATACTTAATCGTTATTTACCAAAACAACAAGAATTGTATTAACGTAAGGTTGGTAAAAGAGAACATTATGGGAAAAAGAGGAAATCAAGTAAAGTTATTATGTGGATTATAGATTATAGAAATCAACTGTTAGTGAATGTTTTTTAAATGTATACCCAGATACCAAATATTAAGGTGACTATGTTAAAAAATCAATAAAACATTTTTTTAAAAAAAGTAGCTTTGGGGAATTATATCTGAAGAATTGCACAACTCTAATAAAAATCACCATTATTTATGTACAGATTTATTGTGAAATAAATAAATGCAAGAACACATCTGCAAACCTGGTAACCAGGTTTGCAAATGCTGGGTGTGTTTTAATAGCATATTCAAAAATATTGTCTTAAGGAGAGCCCTGGAAAAAATCCACAAACACAATGTGAACTTTATTAAAGGGTAAAACTGTATATAATAATTATGTAATAATTCTTCAAAACCCATAAAGAAGAATATTTGTAGCTCAGGGTTGAAATGAGGTGTTATCTGAGCTTGGCTGTTTTCTTGCAGACGTTTTCTTGCAAACTAGATAAAATTCTCAATGCTAATAAGGAGTGGGGTTTGCTCTTAATTTATATTCTAGTGGCTTACCCTGTCGGTGTTAGTGGGGGTGGTCTTAGAGGTTCTTTGGTTGGGCTATTTACTATTGGCTTGTTTGACAGTTTTTTGATTGGTTACTTGATTGTTGATCTGATGTTAATCTTGGAGTTAATCTATGCTCGTCTGGGTGCTGATTGATTGTGGAGAAGTGCTTATATCTTTTTGTTCCCTTTTTGGCTTGTTGATTGTCTCTTTTGCACAGTATGTAGATGTTATTTTGTCTATGTGTCTGTTGATGGCCAATTTGTGAGAGTGCCAGGTTTCTAGAAATTCCCTAGCATTTTTTGATTTGGTTTGGTCTAGGATGGTCAGTTTTCCAATTGAATCTATGGTTAAGTCTGCCCTCATGTTGTGAAATTAAAGTTTTGATCATGTCTTCTGACTGCTAGTTGGTGTTCATGGATGCGTTCTGCCAATCTTCTGCCTGTTTGTCCTACATAGTGGCTTTTGCAGTCATTAAACTGTATGTTTTAGATGACTCCTGTTTTTTCTTCTGGGGCTGCTGGGTTTTTTGGTGTGCTTAGGATGTTTTGAAGGGCTTTAGTTGATGTGTGCTATGCTGATTCCATGTGGTTGTGGTAGTCTGTTAACAGTTTATTTTTTTATCATGAAATAACTCCTTAAACCAGCTCCACAATACAATAAAGCCCTCAAGTTTTTTTCAAGCAAAGCAAATCAGCTATACTGTTTTTCTTTGTTTATTCTTACTGCCTCATTTGACACTTTCAATAGCCAGAAGCAGAAGCCTCTTTCAACATGTCCAGCCATCTTCTTTATGTGCAGAAATCTCTTTTGAATATTGGAAGTATTATTTGTTTATAACATTTGTATATAAGCCAATCACATATACTCCAGTTTACATCAGCAAAATATTATTAAAACCTAAGGGCTTAGGCAATGTACAGGACTTTGTTAAGGAAAATCCATTGCCATTTTATCTTGGTCAATAAAATTACATTGCTTCATGGTATGAAGCACTTCATTGAGACAAGGCCACTCTAGTCCAGTAGGTTGTGGATTTCCATGGATCATGGCCTTTATCTCCAGTAGATTGTGAATGCCCTTTTTTACCAAGATACATGCCTTTATTTATTTAAATATAATCATCCAATAGCTTATTTATGTGCTTTGTTATGGATTTAATTGTGAAATTTTAACAGCTTTTAGTCTGCATGGTTTATAAACACAGACAAATAAATATAAGCAAAAATTTTAACATGGACAGCTTCCAAAGAGGATATACTGACTGAATATATAATGTATCATCTATTTCAGTTCTCTGTTTTTAATACAACAGATACCGAAATCTTTTTCTCTGTAGGTTGGACTTTCTAGAAGAGTGCATCTGAGGACACAATCAGTCAGGCTACTGCATGTCTATTTATTTATTTGATTTAAAATAGGATTTTTAAGGACAGGTATGCTTCCAAGATTGTGGAATGAAAAGCAGAGAGAAGGGAAAAGGAGGGGAGGTAAGGGATAAAATCATGGTAAAAGCCATATCTTCTAAGATATTAAAAGATCCCCATAAAAATATTGAAATTGACTCCAATTCTAACTGGATTCCCAATTCCCTTAGGCAAGAGAAAGCTTGGTTAATTAAACATTTTAGGGTTATTAGGCAGAAATCGGGACCATTGACAGTTCCCAAAAAAATCTCTGTGGGTTAAACTAAAAGACAAGTTCCTTAATGTTTCAAACTTATCTCCACTTTCTTAGAACATTTTAAATTGGCTATGTTTGCTTAAACGAAGTT